AGAGAGTGCCTACTATGCCCAATTGCCACTGTTAGCACTAGACTGCAGACAGTCTGTGTAGCTGCAGAGAGGGAAGGGGTGACTTCAGGGCGGAAGCTCAGGTCAGCCTCTCTCACCCCCTTACCGAGAAGCAGCATCTCTGTATTCTGTACCTCTTTTCTTTTTTTAAATATATTTTATTGATTTTTTACAGAGAGGAAGGAAGAGGGATACAGAGTTAGAAACATCGATGAGAGAGAAACATCAATCAGCCGCCTCCTGCACACCTCCTACTGGGGATGTGCCCACAACCAGTGTACATGCCCTTGACCGGAATCGAACCTGGGACCTTTCAGTCCGCAGGCTGACACTCTATCCACTGAGCCAAACCGGTCAGGGCTGTACCTCTTTTCTTTATACCTACCTAGGAAGAATCATACAGAAAGTTAAACTAATATGGGAAGAATAGAAGTACAACTTATGAATACTTATAATGTACTATGCTGGTGAACTGTTTAACAGTTGGGTTTCTCATAGTAAAGTTTAACTTTCCTAAAGCTCAGTAAACATTGGGGGGTGGGGGAGCAGAGTTTACCTTTTTAGAATAAGGCTTCCTCAGTCCTTTTAGCAGAAAATCTGATTATGTTAGAAGATCTGGAAGGAACTAATCAGAATTTGTGTTCTTGATATTTATATGATGCCTTTTACAGACATGATACTCTTCAGTTTCATTCTAAAGCTTAGAACTATGATAGATCAAATTTATTACCAAAGTTTACAACAAATGTGTGAATCTGTTAACTGGTTAAGGATTATCTTCTTCTCTTTAAGAATGCGAGTTCCAGCCGTTTTTTTCTGAAAGAAATCCAGTTGAACATGACTCTTCCTGACGCCAAAGGTAAGATTCCCCACAATTCCCCTGCCCACTCCGGTGTCTCGGAGCACTAATTCTCACATGCCTTTGCAGTGCCCACCTTCCAGGCCTCCAATAGCTCGCTGAGAGCACTTCAGGCCACTGTGGGGAATTCCTACAAGTGCAATGCCGAGGAGCACATTTGGGTCACAGAGGCCTTTTCTGTCAACATTTTCAAAGTGTGGGTCCAGGCTTTCCAGGTAGAAGGTGACAAGTTTGGGTCTGGTAAGTAGCATTGAAGGCAGCGTTTCAGACTCTGAGTGGGCTTCAGCAGGCTTTGGTTCTGTTTAGATATTTAACAGCTTCTGTGTTACAAGGAGGGGGTGGGAGTGCAGGTTCCCTTTCCCAGCCTAAGAGTTTTAGAGCAAATTCCCCTTCCTGTGTTAGCTTGCTTCCAAAATGCCCAGCATGTCTCAGTTGTGAGCATGTCACTATTTGAGCAAAGGCAGTTCTTCTAACAAGTAGTGTGGCTCTTCCCCCTATTAAATTGGGATATTAAAATGCTATCTGTTTGATGAGTTCAGTGTCCAGAAGGGCCCAAGCGCCTAGGACTGCACACTGACCATAATTTCCTAGCCACACAGAATGCCCCGCCTCTGTAGGAGCTTCTCCAAGTGATAATGGATTGGAATTGGAGCCCCCTCCCTGGTATGATCCTCCCCTGCTGGGAGTGGCGGTGGGCAGAGGTAGAGAGGAGGGAGAGGCCTCTGTGGGGTCCGCATGGTGACAACCCATGTGCGCATGGTGCGCTCCCGCTTGTCTCCTCAGTGGAAGAATGTCAGCTGGATGAGAATAACATGCTGATCCCCATCGCCGTGGGCGGTGCCCTGGCAGGGCTGGTCCTCATCGTCCTCATCGCCTACCTCATCGGCAGGAAGAGGAGCCATGCTGGCTACCAGACGATTTAGCCCGGCCGCAGACCAGCAGAAGCTGCAGGGCTCTCTGTTCATTTCCCTGAGCTTAGGTTGATGTTGAGGGAGGCACACTTTATTGCAAACTGATTTTCAGATCTGCTTTATCCAATGTGAAGTTCATCTTGCAACATTTACTATGCACAAAGAGTAACTATTGCAATGACGGTGTTAATTTTGCTAACGGGGTTAAATATTTTGCTAACTGGTTAAATGTTAATATTTACCAAAGTAGATCTTTAAAGGGGGGAGGGTAAGAGTGCTTTTTTAAATGGGCACTGGCTCCACTATCATTTGACTTTTTAAGGTTCTGGTGTTTAGTTTCTCTTCATTCTTGATTCAGATATAAGCCTTACAAAGGGAGGTTCTCTGGTCTTAACACTTACAACTGATGAAGGCTGGCTAACTGTTAGACTGACACAGTTCATAAATTAGTAGACAGAAGTACTTCAGAAGAGGAAACTCTGGAATGCTTAAATTAAGCTTTAGAAGCCAAGACAGGCCTGGCCCCCACAGGCTGCATAGCTGAGCATTAAAGCGATTGGTCTTTCCATGCTCTGCCACTCAAGAGCTGGCACTTTTTTAACTAGAAAAATGGGTGTTATTTTTACTTACTTTTTTTTTTTTTTTTTTTTTGTAAAGTGATTTTCAATCTTCTGTTTGAGGTTCAGGGTGATCCTGTGTCTGCACTTGTGTACAATAATCGGTTCCACTCTCTGATTTATCCGCTTGCAGCTCGGGTGGGCTGTGCACTGAGGATCACTTCATTTAATGCATTGCTGTAACAATGCTAATAAAATGTCTCTTTCTTTCTTTGGACCTTGTGCTTTTGTCAGCTCTCGGGATGAATGGTGGAGAGCAGTGTGTAAGCTGGGGTGGAGTGGTGCCAATAACAACTGCACGTGGGGAATCTGCCCTAGCCACCCTGCCTCTAGGAGAGCTGATGTGTAGCCAGTCTGCTGGTGGCAATTTGAGAACATGAGTGTGCCTAAAGGTTGGTCTTCAGTTGTGACAATGCAGCCATAGCGTTGTCCTACCCACTCCATGAGAGTGAGGAGAGGAAGAAGATGGGCCTTATCTGGTCCTGCTGCAGGCCCTGCGAGTTGTGCTTGGAGCTTACAGAGCAGGGGCTCAAGACTCAAGTTTTATTTAATCTTAACTTTTAAGCAAAGATCAGTGCCCTCTAAGGATCTCTGGGCCTTGGTGGCTTAGGCTGAGGGCAGCCTGCCTGCTGGGTGACCCTGGGACTGGAGTATCGCTGGCCACCTGCACCCCAGAATCTGCTGTGGGTGGGAGGAAATTTTCTTTTGTATAGCTGAGGTAGCCCTGGGTGGTTCTTACCTCGGTAGCAGTCCTTTTCAAACCAAGCATAGCAGTATGGGGCCATGTGACGAATACCAAGATGCGGCAGGATTGCAGTTAGGCAGTCTGAAAGCTGCCTGGGGATGGGGTCCAGAGCCTGCAGGCAGTGGCATGACATACAGCCTTAGTGCATCATGAGGTTCTTGGATTTTCATTTCCCCAGTCTGGACAGTACGGACACATTATGCCTGATCCAAAACTGAGAAACCAGCAGTTGGCTGAGGGTCGGGTCTTAGCAGGTGTTTCAGGGTTTAGAGAGCATTAGAAATGGCCAGTGTAGAAGTAGTGTATGTCTGGAAGGGCAGAGATTCCCAAGAACCCAGACAGCCCGGATGCTGAGACCATGCCCTAGACCAGTGATGGCGAACCTTTTGAGCTCGGCGTGTCAGCATTTTGAAAAACCCTAACTTAACTCTGGTGCCGTGTCACCTATAGAAATTTTTTGATATTTGCAACCATAGTAAAACAAAGACATATTTTTGATATTTATTTTATATATTTAAATGCCATTTAACGAAAAATCAACCAAAAAAATGAGTTCGCGTGTCACCTCTGACGCATGTCATAGGTTCGCCATCACTGCCCTAGAGGCACAGCTGCTTACATTTCAAGAAGGGAACCTCCATCACTGGGTTCCTTTCAGGGAAAGCCACCACTGGTTCATCAGGTACAGCTTCAAGTCATCCTGTCTAGGGTGGGTGTCGCAGTTCCTGGGAGCAGAAGGCTAGGGATCACACGGCTGGCGTGGAAGTGTCAGGACTAGGAGCTCTGAGGTCACTGGGCAGCTGTGCCCACCCCATGCAAGTGACCCGCATGCTTGGCTGTTTCTTGGAGGGCTCCCCAGCTCAGCGTCTAAAGTGGATTGGGACATTCGCATGCTGTTTTGGTCTAGGTCCAGCTTCATTAGTGGCGGCGGAGAAGGGAGGCGTTACCATGATGGCCCAGCTGGAGAGGAGCGTGGCCCAGGTGCTGCTATCAGGCAAGGCTGCCATCACCCAGGTCCCTTAACTGTGTCTCCCTTTGAGGGTAAAACTCCCCATAATCGCAGTATAGACGTGGGATGAGGATGGAATAAGTGGGAGGACGTTTTTTGGAGAAATTGGGTGTTTTCAGGTCACACTGCTGAGTAGGGCAGGCAAGCTTGGGGCCACTTGGAGGGGCAGGTGCTGGGGAAGCAGGCCAACTGCTTCTGAGTTCCCACATGTCTCCCATTTGCCTGCTCCCATGGGACCCTGCTTGTCTCCACCCGTCTCCCCTTGCCCCTGCCTGCCCCCTGCCCTGCCCCATCCTGTCCCTGCCTGTCCCATGCAGGGTTCAGCCTACCTAGGCAGTGAGGTTTCTCAGACAGAGGCAGCACCACCATCAGGGCTCAGGGTGGGGAGATGGGGTCAGGGGTCTGGGTGGGAGGTTCATGTCCTCGAGACCAGAGAGGATGGGGTCTAACTCCAGGGGTCCAGGAAAAGCATCAAGCACTCATGGGCCCAAATCATACTCATTCTTCGCGTCACATGACAATTTTTAAAGTTTTTTTAAATTACCTTTCTAGCCCTGGCCAGTGTGGCTGTTTGTTGGGCGTCTTCTGGAGCACCAAAAATTCCAATTTGATTCGTGGTCAGGGCACGTGCCTGGGTTTCAGGCTCAATCCCTAATAGGGGGCGTGCAGAAGGCAGCCGATTGATGTTTCACTCTCACATCAATGTTTCCCCCTCTCTTCCTCTCTCTAAAAACCTAAAAATCAAATTTTTAAAAATCTTTTTTTAAAATTACCTTTTTAAAGAGAGATCACTTGGTACATTTACAAACTTTACATGAAGGTAAATGCTCTGCCACAGAAAGGAATAGAATAATATTTAATTGGCATTAGTAACACTAATGACAGTTTACTGTTTTGGTTTTAATTTTCAATCGGCTGGCAATCACAAACTCATAGGTGTTGACATACTTTATTAAATACAAACGCACACCTCACATTTTATATATTATTGTCTCAGGTAAAAATATATCTTCAGAAATTTGACTTCATAGCTCATCAGTTACAGAATGACATGACTTTAAATTGCTCTTTTAAAAAATTCACGACTAAAGTGTGGAGACATCAAGTATTTACAGCACTAAAAAGGAAAGCAGTACAAATTGGTCAACTCTGGGAATGAAGCATCATGGTCAGGGCAGAGGGGAGTGTGTCCAGGTCACCCCTGCACCAGCAGCTTGGCCCTGCAGCTCTCCCGAAGCCTGGTGATGGTGGTCATGGGCAAGCTTCCAGGCTCGGAGAAGATTTTCTGGAAGAGGAACGGAATTGGATTAAAAACAAACCAAAGGTAAGTTTTTACCTTAGCCGCCCCCTGTTCAAGGCTAGGCTGTGGCAGATGGACAGATGTAAGACCACACCCACCGAGGGAAGACAAGTTTGATGTGTGTATTTTTGCTTCTGTTGCCTGAGTCCTGTGTATTGTTTAGACCCTTTAACTATTGCATCCTTAGTAGCTCTGACCCAGTCAAGCCATTCATGAGCAGACGAAGCATAAGAAACCAGATTTGAGAAGTGGAAGCAGGAAGAGACTCAGACTCATTTCTAGTAACAAAACTGCCTCCCCATGAGGAGAAAAGGGTGTCTGGGAGGGAGGCCGAGCAGAGAGCAGCAGGCAGGCGGCCATAGCCGCGGGACTCCACAGGCCGCGCGTTAGGATGGACATGAGAACAAACATTTTGAGCTGGTTGGTGTGCCATCACATCTTTTATGAGTACTTTAATAATTTGTGCAGTGACTGCTGAGAAATTCACGGTTATAAATCAGGCCAGGTGTAAAGGCTAGTCATTAAAAGGTTTTGTTAAAAGAAATTGCATTTCTGAAATTCTTTGGTTTCATAATACACAGCACCTAAGGTCGGGGTAGAGCGTGTGCGTGCTAACTGTCCACGTTCCTGAGAAGGGGCAGTAAGTCACATCCACCGAGATGTGCCAGGATGTTCACCTGTCCTCTGCCCATTAATGTCGCTCTGAGCTCCAACAGGAGGTTTCTATCCTCCAGGACATTCGAGGTTCTTGTTTAGGGTTTCAGAGACTTGTGATGTAGGAACTGCAATTGCTGTGCTGATGTGCTCTTAATACAGAAATACGGACACAATTTTGAAGAAATCACTGAGAAAATGAGACCCACTGTACTAGGGCTCTTTCCCTGCCAACTTCCCTTGAATGGCTACATCTATCCTGTGCAATGATACACGGCATTTTTATTTCAATGTGAGGAGACTGGCAAAACCCAGTGTCTCCATGGTCCTCTGTGCTTCCCTCGAGCTCACCAAGCTCACAGGGCCCAGAGTGCCTTTGGACAGCAACACAGGCAAGGTCCCGCCGTGGACGGCATACTCACCTGCAGCTGGCTCATGGGCAGAGCTGTCGCCTCACTGCCCTTTGCACTTTATAAACACTAGCACTTACTGAGTACTTGCCGTGTGCAAGATACTCCGCTAAACACTGACATAAAGTCCAGAGCCACGCAACCTTGAGGGCATTGTGCTGAACGAAAGAAGTCAATGCAAAAGGGCGCACGTTATTTGATTCTCCTTATGTGAAGTAAGCCCTTAGAAACAGAACATAGACTGGTGGTTGCCCAGCGTTTGGTGGTGGGGGTGGGTGGGGGTGCGGGTAGGGGTTACGGGGTTCATTTTTGGGGTGATGAAAATGTTCTGGAACTAGATAATGGAACTATACCTTTGAACTGTTCATGTTCAAAGGGTGAATTTTATATGGGAATTGTATCTCATTAAAACAAGCAAAATGCCCTAAATATCCTTAGAATACAGGACCTATTATCATCTCTTCCTATTATAAATGAGCATCTTGAGTCTAAAAGGAATCCTAAAACCTGCCAGCAGTCATACAGGTGAGTGCAAGCTATGATTCTGTCCAAGTTCAGTGTCCGGCTCCTACCAACTCCTCGACCTACAATCACAGACTCATATGAGGCCTAAAAGAGCAGGGTCCTGGCATCCGCTGCTTGAATTCCCCAATAACATTCTCACCAAGAGGCCACCAGTGGCTTCAAGACTTCCAAGGACGGAGAAGTTACTCCGGAGTATTTTGTCCTTACATGATGGGCTCCAACTCTACCTGACAAGCCTCCAAAGGAGTCAGTACAGGTTTCTGCCTGACATTTCTTATCCAGCATCCTCATCTTCTCTTTATTGGTACCAGCTGAAATGTCAGCGTTCATGCCCACCCGCCTGCCATTTAGAGGGTGCGTGTGACCCTCATGACCACTAGTCCTCACCACAGCAGCTAAATGGGAAGCCGTCTTCTAGGCCAGGGGGAAGCAGAACCCCAGCCCTAGCCCCTGCAGGTTTTCCCACTCCCAGCAGCTGTCCAGCATACCTCCAGAGTGGCGTGGAGAAAGCTCAAGGCGCTCCTCTCTGTCTCAGAGTCCTGGACATTTTCTAAGACAGTCCCAGCCATCAGCAGGCTGGCCCTTGGTGGCTCCCAGGCAAACAGCCCCAGCAAGGTGCTTGCACCCCCCAGGGAGGCTTGGAGAAGCACCTGGCTTTCCGGGGCATCTGAACAGCGCACCCTGGGGATGCCCTCTGCTACCTCCTTGGAATTTGTAATTACTTCAAATGGAAAGGTGAAAAGCCAGGTGGGCCGGGTGCTCTGGAACAAGGCTGCTCCAGATAGCACGCCTCACCTCCCACCAGGGCCATTCAAGCTCTGGGCTCTGCTCCTGGCTGGCGCCCTCTTCCCACTAGCCTACCTAAAACCCTCTTACCAGCCTAGGCCTGTCCCAGCTCCCAGGCCGCCTCAGAAGGCCTGTCAAATGCAGCTCCCACTTCATTCATTCACCAGGTATGAGTCATCTACAGAGCCTGCAGCCCCGCTAGGACCAGGAGAAACAGGAGACCTGTAGACGGGGCCATCAGGAGAGCCTCTGAGATCAGGTACACAGGCAGCAGGCTTGGGAGGGGCTCCAGTCCTCCAAGAACTCTGCCACCTTCCAGGCTCCCAGACCCGGAGAAACTGGAGATTAGATGAGCTGTGTACTCACACCTTGATGCTTCCCAGTGAAGAACCAGCCCTACAAGGGGTCCTATAAGCATTGGACCCTGCCCACCTTGGGGCAAGCCACTCCATGGCTGATGCACAGGAGGAGGGGCAGCAGCTGCTGGACTCCAGATAGGTGGCCCCACCCATCTGCCTCGGGCACTAGGCTCCAGGAGAAGAGGGCCTGGAAGGGCTGGAGTCCCTCCTCAGGGTTTGCTTGAGATGGGAGGGTGAAGGGACGAGTGGAGGCAGAGATCCAGATCCAAAGGAAACACAGAGACAGATGCTTTGCCAGACAGATATGCAAAGCCAGGACTCCCGTTCCACAGGCCAGGCAAATGGAACCGCAGAGCAAAGTGCAGGCTGAGCACACCCAGACACTCACCTGCATAAAGGTGTGACATTCAGTCACAAAACTCCCTTTGGTGATCTCCTTGAACTTTTCACAGATGTCTGCAAAACTGGTGGCTTCCAAAATAAAAGCCTGGTGTTGCTTAATCAGGGTCAGAGCCACCCGGAAGATAATCTTTGAGCCTTCGTTGAACAAACAATCCCAGATTCGAAGCACCGTCTGCAGAGAAACAGACATGGCGCATCTCTGCACGGTGATCTGAGCCAGCGCTGGGCCCAGCGAGGCTTGTGACATGCTCACCTCCACGGGCAGGATGTCCACAAACAGGCAGATGAACCAGCGTGACACGACCAGAGTCCACAAGACGCCATGCCCGTCCATCAGGGCCGCCACCGCTGGCAGCTTGGTCCTCACCAGCTCCCCCAGGACCTCCTGGTCCGTCTTCAGGCCCAGCATCTCAGGGCTGTAGTAATCTGCCACAGGGATGAAGAGAAAAACCCAAAAATGTGTATCACTTGTTCCACAACCACAGCCCCTGAGAGCCTCATCCCTCGTTCCTTCTCAGCCAGGGAAAGAAAACAGGGCTGTCCCCAGAGGATCCTTTCTAGAAGAGAGGAGGGCAAGGTTAGAGGGAGGACCAGGGAGAGATGCCATGCCATGTGGATAAAGGGACTCCTGGGAGTGATTCCCAAAGCAAGGCCCCCCAGGGTCCCTGGGGGCTCTGGACAGTGAGGCCCTGGGCATTGGTTAAAATCGGCTGGCAGAAAGAAGGAGGGTTTACACACCCATGTTCGTAGCAGGATTATTCACAACAGCCAAAAAAAGTACATAACCAAGTATCTGCCTATGGATAATGTGGTCTACACACATAATGGAGTATGATTCTGCCTTTAAAAGGAGGGAAACTGACACGTCCAACAATAGGATGAAGCTTGAGGACATCGTGCTAAGTGAGATAAGCCAGCCAGCCATAAACGAACAAATACTACATGATTCCACTTATGTGAGATGCCTAGAGCCGCCAAAATCAGACAAAGTAGAATGGTGGGTGCCAGGGGCTGGAAGAAGGGAGTGGGGAGCTGTTATTTAATGGGGACAGAGTTCTATTCGGGAAGATGAGAAAATTCTGGAGGTGGATGGTGGTGATGGTTACACAACAATGTGAATGCGCTTGATGCCACTGAACTGTATACTTAAAAATGGTAAAGATTGTTGTCCTGGCCAATGTGGCTCAGTTGGTTAGGCATTGTCCTGCGCACCAAAAGGTTGCCAGTCCGTCTCTTGGTCAGAGCACATGCCTAGGTTGTGGCACTATCCTGGTAGGGGGGTGCAGGAGGCAGCCGATTGATGTTTCACTCTCACATTGATGTTTCTCTCTCTCTCCCTCTCCCTATCTCCCAAAAAATCAATATAAAATATCTTTTAAAAATGATATAGATTGTAAATGTCATATTATTTGTATTTTATCACAATAAAAAATAAAACTTTAAAAATCTGCAGGTGACAGCTGCCTTTCCCTGTCATCCAGACTGAGGGAGAGCCCAGCAGCCACGGACATGCCGCCCTTGGTGGCTCTGCCCACCCGGACTAAGGGAGGCTTGGGGCACCGGAGGAGCAGGCATAGGGCCACCTGAGCTGCAGGACAGCACTGCCTGCAGCAAGCTCCTTCCTGGGAGCCAGAGAAGGTTCAGGGTCGAGGTGGCCCATGGAGGATGAGGGAGCAGGCACAAGTGAGCCTGACCCCAGCGCCCATGTGGTGCCATCGTGCCACCCCCTACATACATGGAGTAAGGAGAGGTGGGGCTCAAAGCAGCTGGTCCCTCTACATCGTCCCTCTGCATCCACTGCCTCCCCAGAGTGGAGGGTGTAGGCACACAAATTAGTGTCACAAAACAGTATTTTTAAAAATTTGGCCTAGCCCTGACCGGTTTGGCTCAGTGGATAAAGCGTCGGCCTGCAGACTAAAGGGTCCCCAATTTGATTGGTTTGATTCCGGTCAAGGGCATGTACCTTGGTTGCAGGCACATCCCCAGTTGTGGGTGTGCAGGAGGCAGCTGATCGATGTTTCTCTCTCATTGATGTTTCTTACTCTATCTCTCTCCCTTCCTCTCTGTAAAAAATCAATAAAATACCTTTAAAAAATTTTTTTGGCCTAAATCATAAATTTCTAATCCCACAACTGGTTGGTGAAACGTGTGCCCTTGATGAGGTGGACTTGGGATTTCAAGGACAGTGGCTGCCCCAGCCATGATGGCTTCTCCAGCATCATGCCAATGCCTCCCGAGCATCCTGGGGTCCTCTGAGCACGGCTGCACTCTTCCTTCTTTACTGGTGTTTTGTTGTTGTTGTTATGAAGGTGATACATGCCTCTGATAAAGTTGAACACTACAGGAGAGTAGCAGGTGAAAAGTCAAAGTCGTCCCCTAGGTAACCACTTATCACTAAGCAGTCTGATGGGCCTCCTCCATACTTGTAATGCCATGTCACACATGGACACACCTTGCAAATAGGACCCTGTCATACATCCCTTTGCAAACTTCCCCAACACCTTTCTGCATCCTCATGTACGTGGCCTGCCCTCTGCTGAGGTGCCTTCGCAGGGATATGCCATAACCCACTTCAACTGGCTCCTGGCTGATGCGCGTTCAGACATTGTCAACCCACATGCGTGTGCTCACGTGTGCAGGGGAATGTCTACACATAGAGCTGCTGGTGAAGGCTCTCTTCGCTGAAGTTTCAAGGAGTCCGAAATGCTTCCTCCAACTTGAGGGCGGAGGACACTTCATTCTATTTACCAGAAATTCTAGAAGGATCTAAATGTCCCCACCACGCTGAATACAGAAAGGCAGAGACAATATTAAGTCTAAAATTGTTCTTGTTCATTCCCAAAGAGGGCTGACAACTTAATTTGGAAAATTTTCTTCTACTCTAGTTTAGTAGCTTGGGGACCGACCCCAGGCTGTCAAAACACGACCCGCTAAGGCGACCTCATGGTCGCTCTGCTTCTCCCATCAGGGCCCTGGGCACCAGCGGGCTGCCAGCAGTCCCTACAGCTCTGTGACCACTCGCTCAACAGACAGAAAGACCAGCGCTGCCAACAGCATGTCCATCTTTTGACCGGACATTTGCCTTGCCAAAAAAACTTCCTAGCTTCTTAGTGTGATGTATTACAATAATTTTAACGCCTAATTTCTGCTATAAAAATGTAGCAGGTAATCTATGCAATAGAATAGACACATTCAGCATGCTGCCCAGTCTCTCACCAGGGCAAATGAAATATTTTGGTTAAAATAGTCATCATAAATATTGACACAATATCACAGTCACATTGCTAGTTTTCAAAGAGTAAGCTACAATAAACTGTTTAATACTGAAAATAATTTAATAGAAGCCAATTTGGTTATAAAACACCAGGGATTTAAAAAAATTCTTCCCCTTCATACATTTGGAGACTTGGAGCCATTTACTCTCTTTCTCCTTTTTAATTCGGCAATATTCTGCTCCATTTGGGAAGAAAGAAGCAGAGATTCTCTGTTCTCTGTACGAGAGTGTCTTCAATGCCAACCCAGTTATACGAGGGACATCTCAGAGGGAGCCGGGTCCAGGCGCAGCAGTGATAAGAGGATTTGCCCAGAAGGACATTTAAGCTGTGAGCACAGCACGACCTTCTTGGTTACAGAGACGCTTACAGTAGTTTCCAAAAATAGATGTCAGAGTCACACACCACAGGCCTGAGCCGATCACCAGGGGAGATCCCTGAAGCCCTCTGTACCTACTTTCCCTCCTCGATGCATTCTGCCCTTGAATGTTGCAGGCAGACAAACCACAGTTTCCTGTGGGCCTCACCTGCAGCACACCCCTACCTGTCTAAGCAGAGGAGCGCCTGACAGGGCACATTCCACTCTGCACAGGGACAGAGAAAGCCTAGGTAGGCCCTGAACTGACTCACCTGTCTGGGGCCCCTACTTACGCTTCTCCTGGGGACGTTCACCTCGGCAGACAGCATAATGGCTGTGTCAGACACTGGAAGACTAAACGCTGCTGCGGGGGCAGGGCCGCTGCTGGGGTGCTGTCTGGGGTGTGGGAGCTGCTGTGGGGGTGGGGTGTACAGATTTAAAGTGTGCCCGTGGTTATTGCTACATGAGTAGAAAGTGGTAGAGCTGGGTCCTCGCTGGTTTGGCTCCGTGGATAGAGCATTGGCCTGTGGACTGAAGGGTCCCGGGTTTGATTCTGGTCCAGGGCAAATGCCCGGGTTGTGGGAGGCAGCAGATCAATGATTTTCTCTCTCATCATTGATGTTTCTATCTCTCTCTCCCTCTCCCTTCCTCTCTGAAATCAATAAAAATATCTTTAAAAAAAAAGAAGAAGAAGAAAAAAAAGAAGAAAGTGGTAGAGTTGGGATTCAAACCCGTGAAGTCTAATTTCCAAATGGATGCTCTTCAGGCCAGGGATGAATGTCAGCCTGTGAAAAAGCAAACACCGGTCCCCACAGGCGAAGAGCACAGGCTGTGGAATACTATGGAGGAGACCCTGTGGGTAAGTTAATCAAGAGAACACATGAAACATCCTCCAGTGCAGCTGCGACAAAGACAGTCCAGTGTTCCTCAGCCTGCTCCACATTTGCTCCTAAGGGTCTGTGGGCTCCCCCCCACCCCTACCCCACCCCCCCCCCCCGCCCTCCTCCAGCGTGCCTTATCAGTCCTCATCTCGGCCACACCTTCTCGCTTCAGCTGGGTTATTCTGTGATGAGCAATTAACAGCCTGTTTCCCTGTGTTTCAACGGAAAACAGGTTTGACCAGCTTTTCAGGATGCTAATACATCATTAGTTCATTATTGCACTGATTCATTCTTGGAGGCAATTACCCCTTTACTTCTTGAAGTAGGATGGGCACCATTAGCACTAGGGGCTCAGAGCCTGGTCCTGGCCTCGCTTCTCTGCAAGGCTCAGGAATCCTTTTTTTTTTTTTTTTAAAAATATATATTTTATTGATTTTTCACAGAGAGGAAGGGAGAGAGATAGAGAGTTAGAAACATCGATGAGAGAGAAACATCGATCAGCTGCCTCCTGCATATCTCCCACTGGGGATGTGCCCGCAACCCAGGCACATGCCCTTGACCGGAATCGAACCTGGGACCCCTCAGTCCGCAGGCCGACGCTCTATCCACTGAGCCAAACCGGTTTCGGCAGGAATCCTCTTCTATCCACAAAGTGAATCTGCTTTTTCTTTTGCATCCCTTCACCGGATGCCTTGGTGTGAGTGGTGCCTAATCAGAAGAGCCACCACCGGTTCCCAGGAGCTCTGCTGGAGACTGCATTCTGCGGGAGACTGCATTCTGGATTTAGCATGCATTGTTTGCTAGTGCTTTGTTGCTTTGGGACCATAAGAGGCATTTAAGTGTAAAAGTGAAATCCTTTAAGTAAACCTTATATGAGTGACTTAACTTTTGTACAACTCCTAGAGGTGGTAGTGCCTGAGGAAGGCTCCGGCAACAGGGCAGGAGGCCAGCAAGGCGTACACAGGACCATGAGGTCTGTGACTTTGTACTCTGCTCTGCGTCCTCTGTGAGAAGTCCATAACACAATGCTGTCTTCGGTCCTAGCACTGACTTTTACCCCATTTCCACTGCTCTGAAATCGGGGTGTCACTTGCCTAGAAGTGGTGGCCGTCAGGTGGCTATGCTGGCTTTGACATCCTACTTTAGTGCTGTTTAAATCTGCATTTCCTTGCTCACAGGAGAACTTGGTCATCTCTTCGTAACTTTGTTGGCCATTCAGGTTTCCTATTTTGTAAAGTGCCTATCTGCTTTTTCACAAAAGTCTGAATCCATCTGGAATAGAAATAAGGATCTAATTTTGTCTTCTTCCATATAGATAGTCAATTGTCACCAAATGATATTTCAAATAGTCTTTCTTTTCCCCATTAATTGAGACATCTCACATATATTCTAATAGATTAATAGGTCAGTAGACCAGTTGACTTCTGGCCTCTTTTCTATGAATATATCAATACGCTAATATCACACAATTTAATTATTATAGCATTATAATAAATCTCCAATATTCTTCTCTCTCTCTCTCCCCCTCCCCCCGACACCTGTATTCTTCTTCCAAGCCTTTATTAGCTTGGCTTTGCTCTTGAGTCTTCCATATAATTAAGCCATCCTTGAATTCCTGGTAAACTCTCTTTAGATAAAAAAATAATCCTCCATGGCCATCCCTGGATTCAAGTTGCTAATTTTTTATTATTTAAATTAGGATTTGTATAACTGCTCATCAGTGAGATTCACCTGCATGACAACAAGGTTGTACCAGCTTCATAGCATAAATTGATGAGTAGTTATCATTTTCTACTTTCTACAAGATTTAGAAAACATATAGGAAATATCTGTTCCTTCAGTTTGATGAGATTTTATGTCTGTGAAGATTTTTGTATGTCTGTTCATATGCCCATTCAGATGCTCTATTTTCTCTCAAGTCAACTTTGTTAAACTGTCTTTTCTCAAAAGTATCAGTGTCTTCATTTTATTTGTAGTAAAATCAGTAGATTTTCAAATCACAGCAGATTTTTCATTTCTAAATACCTTATCCATTACTTTCTTTACCAATCTTGCCAAAGGCTTATCTATCTTATCAGTTTTCCTAAAGAACCAGTTTTTGTTTCAGTTCATCTTTTCTATTGGTTCTTTGTTTTTTTTTATTGTTTGTTTGTTTTGTTTTGTTTGTTTTTTAAATATATATTTTACTGATTTTTTACAGAGAGAAAAGAAGAGGGATAGAGAGTTAGAAACATCGATGAGAGAGAAACATCGATCAGCTGCCTCCTGCACACCCCCTACTGGGGATGCGCCCAAAACCAAGGTACATGCCCTTGACCAGAATCGAACCCAGGACCCTTCAGTCCGTGCAGGCCAACGCTCCATCCACTGAGCCAAACCGGTTACGGCCTTTGTTTTGTTTTTAATTTTCACTATTTCATTTGTGAAATTTCACTCTTTCATTATATATAAATATAAATACATAGAAAGAACTCTGGAAATACATATGCCAAATTGATAACATGATAATAATTACCTCTGAGTAGGAGAGAAATGGGTGTTAGTGAAGGTAGACTGTTACTTTTTATCTCATAATAACTATTATATTTTTGAACTTTTAAAATGAGAATATATCTGCATTTTTTTTTCTGTAATTAAAAAAGAAACAAGTAAAAGCAGGATAACTGTGGCACTAAAATGACCTAGTTTGTGCAACGAGAATTCAGATAACATGGCATCAGCTGCCTCTTTGCCACTTGGAGAGCTCTGCAATGGCAAGAATAATCCCTTTTTTCTCTCACAGTCCTAACATTTTTATTGTGACATTTTCTTTTTTTTAATATATATATATATATATATATATATATTATTGATTTTTTACAGAGAGGAAGGGAGAGAGATCGAGAGTCAGAAACATCGATGAGAGAGAAACATTGATCAGCTGCCTCCTGCACATCTCCTACTGAGGATGTGCCCGCAACCCAGGTACATGCCCTTGACTGGAATCGAACCTGGGACCCTTGAGTCCGCAGGCTGACGCTCTATCCACTGAGCCAAACCAGTTTTGGCTGTGACATTTTCTTTTGTTTTTGATGGCACTGCAGTTTAGTCTGACTGAACCTAATAATGATAGGAAATGACATTTCTTGGTTTTAAAAATAAGTCTCTGTAATGACACTGCCACTTCAGGAGCAATTTGGAGTCTTGCTCTTATGTTTTTCTAAGTCAGCATTTATTACCTGCTAATAATCTGTTGCAAAAATTAAAGGAAACCTCAACTATAATTGGAGTTGGGAAGGCCTATCGAGGGAGCTATCACACCTTACCACTTGAGGTCAACTACCCCAAAAAGGAAGACCTCAACTGCAGACCTCAACAGGAAGAAAGTCAATTACAGACCACAACACTTGACTACTTTAATACTCCAGCAGATTCTTCCCCTGCCCAGCAACAAGCCCAGCCAATGGAAACGTCACAGCTTAGCCAATGAGAAGCCACCATCACCTGAATTCTTACTTTCCTTTCATGAACTTTCACTTTTCATTTGCTGACTTCTTTGTCCCGCCCTCCTTTCTATAAAAGTCTTCTATCTTGTATAACCCCTCGTAGCATCTCTCTACTTATGAGATGAGTTGCTGCTTGATTCATGAATCGTTTGATAAAGCCAATTAGATCATCCAATGTACTCAGTTAAATTTTGTTTATTAACTACAGAGGAGAGACTGTTCCATGAAATGACTGCTCTCTGTCCCTTGAGCCGGACTCAGGCTAGAATGGAGGTTGCTTCATGCAAACCCCCTTTAGAGGCTATCTGAGCATAACTGGTGTTCATTCTGATATAAATCAGTACCCCTCCCTTGCCTCCTGCTACATACTAGTCCCTGGAACAGGTTACTGTCCTGACCTGGTCAAGCATGTAAATTAAGTTCCTGTACCTGGTCGCGCTGACACACCCATTACCATTCCCCTTTTTATCCATATAATTCTCTGGCACCAAGTGGCAGAGAGGCCACCTTGTCTTGCAGCTGCGGAGGACATGCCTCAAATGTAAGTTTCCCTAAATAAACTCTATCAATTGCAAGCCTCTCTCTTTGGTCTTTCCTTGCCCTCCACTTATTGAGGTGAATTTTCAGTCTCGGGGCTCCTCCCTTGGTCTGCGGGTATGAATGTCACCACGGCATATGTTGCCTATTTGTTATGGGTTGAATTGTGGCTGCTGTTGCTCATTGTTTGACCTCTTACTACGCTGGGAATCCACCGGGCAGGGCCTTTTCTGGTTTGTTCACTGATGTTTCCCACACCCCCAGAACGGAGTTGATCGTGGATATAAATTCAGTCTTAGGACATAACAGAAGCCAACGGTGAATATGTTACAAAGCTCTGTCAATATTTTATATGGAAAATCTTGACTCCCTCTTCCTCGTCATTTCCCCACCACTGCAGCTCTGGCCTTCACGTTGAGGCTGGGACTCCCAGAGTCCTCTCCCTTCAGGCTCTTTTCTCACGCTCAGGACCTTTGCACCTTTCCCCTCCCAGTGGCAGCGTCATCCAGCCTGGGCTCTGCATGCCCACGCCTGAGCCCTTGTTAATGGCCGTTCCAGAGCAGGAGGAGGGCCCCATTTCCCTCTCTTTCCAGGTCCTCCCTTTCTTTAACGGTGCCATCCAGGCTCACTCTTCCATCAGGTACATGCAAGGTCTTAGAGTCACATAGCCGTGGATTTGAACCCGGGCTCTGCTGCATACTAGGCTCTGCTGTGGGATCTAGGCCTTAAGTGTCCTTCTCTTTAAAACGGGTTTAATATTTGGGTCTATGTGGTGCAGCTGCTCTGAGGATTGAATGAGAATGTAGGCACAGTTTAGCATGGAACCTGAAACGTTCTATGTGCACACCACGCTCACTGTCTTCAACATGGAGACATGGGAGCCGTCTCTCCAGAGAAGCCCCTGGACGCTGTCCTGGGCGGGCCTAGCCTGACACAGGGAGGCATGCCTGAGGGAAGGGAGGAGCAGGAAGGGAACTCAGAGGCAGACAGAAAACAAGACCAACCCAGGGCTCACTGCCGTGGGAGGCCTGTAACCTCCCAGTCATGAGGACTTCGCAACCTGCTAGTCTTTCAGGACAAACGTGAGGCTCGCTGTGACCAACTGCCACCATCGAGTCCTATCCCACCCGGATGGCTCCGGCCACGTCTCTTTGCAAAGTGATCCTACTCTGCAGCTCATAGTCAACACGGTGCATTACCAAAATCAGTGGGTGATTATTAACATAAATTATTTAGTAATTAAAGCAATATTTATTAATAAATAGAAAGGTGGAAATGTATGACAAGAATGATTCTCACCTTCATAACAGGAATAACAACAGCTGACAATTATTTCGCTCTTACATCCATTCACAAACTCAGTAACAAATACTAGTATATGCATGTAACCAAGTGAACTTCTCGCAGGCCTGGTGATCAGTAAGACATGCCAAGGCCAAACGAGTCTCAACACAAATGGTACAGACTGAGGAACAGATGAGCCAAGCACACAGTCTCGGCCAAATTCAAGCTCGGAGATGCAGAAATGACCAGCCGCTCTAGCTGGAGCTGATCATCTGACATATATTTCTTCTCTTTAACTTCACTGCAAAAAGATTTTAAACCTCAACTCCCAAACAATTCAGTTATATTTTCATTAAATCTTGACTTGTCAGCTGAATCATTTCAATAACATCAGAAACAAGACAGTGAAAGGCATGCAGTATGGATTTTCAACATACCAGGTAGTATTCTTCCAACAAGAGCATCTAATAGCCAAAAGGATTCTTCTTCGTTCTTCGTGATAAGAATCAGATATCCCGCTATAAAATTCATTCCCTGAAATTAGAAACATGAGAAACAGAAATCCATGTTGAGCTTTAAAACACCATAAGATTCTGTAATCGTTGGGCTGCTTACTACTAACTTCCCATTTCCCTTGCTTTTTCCTAAAACTTGCATAATTCTAGAATGACCTTTTAGTGCAACTTTGGTGATAGTAAGGATCTGACATCTGGTGCATTTAGTCTACAAGAAAAGGAAGAAGAAGAAAATGATTACAGGAAACTCTTCTGAATGCTGCCTTAGAAAATTAAAATAAAAAATTCTTCAACCTTATGAAAGCAACTTGCAATTGATTTCTAAAAAAAAATTAATCTAATAGCATGAAACTCTATATCAGAGGGGAAACTACACCAATAGCCATAGTTCATAAAGTCCATAAGGAACATGCTCTGACACACAGGCATGTTGAAAGAGATTCTTGTGATCGAGGCTCTTTGGGGAAATTCATGGCCAAAGGGCAGATGTTGCTGAAATACTTGAAGTATGTGACTCTCTTATCGAAGAGAAGCAGCTAGATGAGGGAAGACCAAGGGAGGTGGGCGCTTAACAACAGTGAGTTAGTGTCATCTCTGGGTGACACGGTTTCAGACTATTTCTATTTTTCTCTTTGGCTTGCCTGTATTTTCTAAAAGAAGTATGTATTTCTCTAATAATAAGGGAAAAATCCAACTTTTGTCAACCAACAAGGTAAGTATGGACACGGAGACACCAGGCCGGGAGAACACCATGTGAGCAGGAAGGCAGAGATTGGGTGAGGTGCTTAAAAGCCAAGGATTGCCCGAGACCAGAAGCTGGGGGACGCCTGGGACAGAGACCCCCTCACAGCCTGCGAAGGAACCAGCCGTCCCACACCTCCATCTCAGACTTCGAACTCAGTGGGAGACGATTCCTGTTGTTCACACCTCTCAGCTTACAGCGCGTTGTCATGGCAGCCCCAGGAAGTTAATACAACATGTATGTGTGTATCTGTGTGCTTATGTGTAGGTGTGTGTGCGTATCTGTGTGTGTGTGTGTGTGTGTGTGTGTGTGTGTGTGTGTGTACATATTTATTCCAAAGCCAACATAGATTCGAAAAGCCAATAGGGTGTTGACATCATGCTAATATTTAAAATTGTGTGGTTTATTTTTTAAAGCCATTTTAAAAATCCACAAGAACTGTACCTAGAATACTCTTAGGACAATTTCTCAGCCCTCCTGCTTCCCCTTCTGAGAAAGGCAGGTGGAGTCCTTGTTTCAGGACAAGTTAATGACAGTAATAAAAGCTGAGAATGACAGGAATTCTGTCTGGAAGAATGGGCCCATCCCAGCTCCATCTACTTGAAGGCACTGCCTCTGGGCACCAGAGCAATATGAACACAATGATGAATTATTCAGGTGAATATGAGCAGTAACTATGATGCCTATTTTGAAAAGGACCTGCCTCACTCCTTCTCCCATTTCCTCTCTGAGTCCAGAGCCACGCCACATGCTGACCACACAGGAATGCAAACTGCAAAGCACCCCCCGCCCTCCATGCACAACCATTTGTTCAAACCTTAGGAAGGACCCAAACTCTCCTGGCTCCCCGGCCTGTATGACCCGCTCTGGAGCCTTGGACCCTGACTGTTAGGTGTATATTTCCCATCAAGATGGGCTTGGCCTGGGCGTGGCTCAGGGGTTGAGTGTCGACCTATGAAACAGGAGGTCATGGTTCGATTCCCGGTCAGGGCATATGCCTGGGTTTCGGGCTCGATCCCCAGTGTGGGCTGTGCAGGGGGCAGCCGATCAATGATTCTCTCTCATCACTGATGTTTCTATCTCTCTCTCCCTCTCCCTTCCTCTCTGAAATAAATAAAAATATATATTTTTAAAATATATATTTTATTGAATTTTTACAGAGAGGAGGGGAGAGGGAGAGAGAGTTAGAAACATTGATGAGAGAGAAACATCGATCAGCTGCCTCTTGTACACCTCTTATTGGGGATGTACCCGCAACCAAGGTACGTGCCCTTGACCGGAATCGAACCTGGTGGACCTTTCAGTCCGCAGGCCAACGCTCTATCCACTGAGCCAAACCGGTTAGGGCAAAAATATATTTAAAAAAAAAAAAAAGATGGGCTTACTCACCTCCTCTCAAGAAGCCTACCGACGAGCCTCAGGCTCCAGGAGCATGAGAAGCATGCAGTCTCAGAGGCAGGGAGAGCCACACTCCCGTGACAGCCCTGGGCGCCTGCTCGTAGCCATGGCAACAGCAGCCTTCCTGGTAACAGGAAGTGGGCAGCTCCTGCCAATGGCGGCTCAGGCCTCCCAGGCCTTCAGCAAGCTCAGAGACAGAACCGGCCCATCTCCAAGGCAGCGCGGCCGTATCCCATGCAGCAGCCACAGAGGGCACAGCTGCAGCTGCTCCTCACCAGGGTTCTTGCTTTCCCTGCTGTGAATAAGAGTGTCCCTCTGAAACACCCCAGCCTGAACTGTCCAGGGAGAAACAAGAGGTTTCATTCCCACCTCATGTGTGCTTCATGCAGCGAATCCAAAACAAGACAGCAACGTGGCAGGCGAGGAGGCATACCGTTACCTTTAATCGCAGGGAAGACTGACTTCCCAAAACCATGTCAAAGGAACAGGCCCCACCCCCACCCTCCAACACACACACACACACACACACACACACACACACACACACACACAATGCACACTGAGGCAGTAAGGTGCTGTTTGTCCCCTTCGGTTCTAGAAAACACAGCCCTGTGTTCACTTAACTTACTTCCTAGCTGCTTCCCAACTTTCCGCCTTCACTCCCTCTCAGGGCCGTCTGACACCAAAAGAAATCATTACGGAGGCTTCACTGCTTTGGTAACAGGGAAATGTTTGAAGTCACAGCTTGTGCGGGCGCCATGACTTAGGGAGTTTTGAACTAGATTTTTAAAGAATACTTCACGTAGACCTGAGAGCACACCTGCTGTAAGTCTGTGGGGTGCCGATCCTTTTCACCTTCCTGGGGCTTACCTGGCAGTACCCCACACCTTGGTTGTGGTGCCCGTAGGCCAAGAGCACGTTGTACAGGGTCTTCTGTAAACACGGATCCGCGCTCCTGCGGAATTTCACGTTGTCCGGGAAGGTCCTGTTCATATCTGCAGAGAAATCAACGACAGGATTATTCAGAAGGTGGGAACTGAACGGTCTGTGAGGTACAAGCCCCACCTGGTGAAGTGCTGGGCCCCGGCTCAGGTGCAAGGATTGGTGTCATCCCTGGCTATGCACTTGAGTCACCTGGTAGGGCTGCCCTGTATGGGCAATGAGCACCTGCAGCCTTCATAGTCAAGGTCCTGGGCGACTGGAGTCGGGATGGAAGAAGAGGGCACTCCCAGGACCCCCGTCCTGCTCCAGCCACACCCAGGGGGGCACTGTGGGCCCCAAGAGTGGTTCTCTCAAAATCAGTGACAGCAGAGTGGGTTTCCCTGGGGGAGGCCCTTCACCCTGCAAACCTGTCCTCACGCTGCCCCCTCTTAGCTAAGGGGAGGCTTGACTCTAGAACACATGACAGATGAACATCTTATACAAAACTCTAGAAATGTTTCCCAGTTCTGAAGATTGAAAACATAAAGAAGCAGAACACACCAAGATTCCCTTTCAGAGATAAACAGACAAAACCGAAAACTAAGAACTATACAGCCTGGTCGGTGTGGCTCAGTGGTTGAATGTCGACCTATGAACCAGGAGGTCACGGTTCAATTCCTGGTCAGGGCACATGCCCGGGTTGCGATCCCCAGTGTGGGGCATGTAGTAGGCAGCCATTTGATGATTCTCTCTCATCATTGATGTTTCTATCTCTCTCTCCCTCTCCCTTCTTCTCTGAAATCAATACAAATATTTATATATATAATTTCTTTATTAAGTTATTACATATGTGTCCTTATCCTCACATTACCCCCCATCCCCCCATTACAAATATATTTTTTTAAAAAGAACTAAATAAACTTCGCACTGTCAACCTTTGTCTGCAGGAGGGCTTCCTGGCCAGCCTCTTCCTGCGCATCAGACACCCACTTCCTCAGCCCGGCCCTCCCACCTGGCCGGCCAGGTCGCCAGGACACCAGGGCCCAGTGCAGGATTAGGCCACTAAGACAACGCCTGACTTTTTTTTTTTTTTTAAGATTTTTTAATTGAGTTTCAGAGAGGAAGGGAGTGGGAAAGAGAGAGAAAAACATCAATGTGAGAGCAAAACATCAATCAAACATCGACCAGCTGCCTCTTCCACGCTCCCGACCTTTCAGTGCACGGATGATGCCCAACCAACTGAGCCACACTGGCCAGGGCCGATGCCTGACTTTTTAAAGCTGAGTTTTATAAGTTAGTGCTGTGGACAGGTGCAAGAACATAGAGGATATCAACTTAAACTTTTACATCTTTTCTGACTCTACTGACCCCACTTAGGTAGACGAGTGGTGTGTTTGCTACTGTGCTATGTATGATAACCAAAACAAACCCGATACCCCTCATAGATCGCACTATGGGGCCCACATAACCATTAGCTTCCTCTGTCGTGATCTAAGATAAGCATGCAAGGTGTCTCCCCTCTGTATCTTAGGAAACCCAATCTCTATTTTACTTATTTTTTATAATTTTTTGTTTTTATTAATTTCAGAGAGGAAGGGAGAAGGAGAGAGAGAGAGAGAGAGAGAGAGAGAGAGAGAGAGAGAGAGACATCAACGATGAGAGAGAATTCTTGATCAGCTGCATTCTGTTTGCCCCCTACTGAGCTCACAACCTGGGCATGTGCCCTTGACCAGAATCGAACCCAGGACCCTTCAGTCTACAGGCCGACGCTCTATCCACTGGGCCAAGCCAGCTAGGTCCCAACCTCTGTTTTAGCATGATGGCCACAAACCTCTGTGAAATGCTGCAACGGTGATCCTCTGACCCCCCAGGCCTTGTCTTTGCTTATACAAAAACTAGATCTGGGCCGAACAAGCTTAGTGTCCCAAAGCACATTATTTTTTATTGTTTTCTACAAAAATTTGTTTTGCTTTTTAAATGTCCTCCATAAGCCTGTCGCATTCTCCATCCTTGCCTCAGCCTATGCCTTTCAGTTCTGACAACCTGAAGGACACACAGTATCACAGGGACAGTGAAAAGGAGCTTTGCAACGATTCATGATTGAGTAGTATCATCCCCAAGAAGGTGCCAAGAGGTGGGAGACTTAAGGTTTCTGTTTTATTAGCCATGGATACATTTTTTTAAACTTTTATTTGAATGTATTTAATAATGTATTTGATGATTCTCTCTCATCATTGATGTTTCTATCTCTCTCTCCCTCTCCCTTCTCTGAAATCAATACAAATATTTATATATATAATTTCTTTATTGATTAAGTTATTACATATGTAATATGTAGAGGCCTGTTGCATGAAGAGATTCATGCAATAGGCCTTCCCTTCCTTTGGCTGCTGGCACCAGTTTTCCTCTGGCACCCAGGGCCCAGGCCTTCGCTCTGGCTGGGCTCTGGCCAGAGCCCCCCGCCCCAGCCATCAGGCCTCGCGGCTCCGCTGATCCCGGTGCCGTGAGGCCTCGCGGCTCCGCTGATCCCGGGGCCGTGAGGCCTCGCTGCTCTGCCGGCTTCAGGGTCGTTTGGCTTCAGGGTCTTTTGGCTTCGCTCCACCGCTTGGAGCCTACGTATGCAAATTAACCGCCATCTTTGTTGGCAGTTAATTTGCATATCGCCCTGATTAGCCAATGGGAAGCATAGTGAAGGTACGGTCAATTACCCTTTTTGTCTTTTATTAGATAGGATGAGTATGATACATTTGTGTTACAATTAATGAAGTAATTAATACACTGTCATTAACTAAAATCCCTAATTCATTTGATTGCTTGTTTTTTTGTGTCTCTGAGTGGGCTTGAATCATTTAGATTTTTAAAAAATTTCCACAAATTTGTTTTTTTTCTGGAATTCTAAGCATTCCAAAAACTGCACCTGGTCAGGAGAAAATGAGTGCTTTCATTTTCATTTTTTACTAATTTAGACTAGAATGACCAGTTGTGCTCATTTTTAAAAAAATATATATTTTATTGATTTTTTACAGAGAGGAAGGGAGAGAGATAGAGAGTTGGAAACATCGATGAGAGAGAAAAATCGATCAGCTGCCTCCCGCACATCTCCCACTGGAGAGATGTACCCGCAACCCAGGTACATGCCCTTGACCGGAATCAAACCCGGGACCCTTCAGTCCGCAGGCCAACACTCTATCCACTGAGCCAAACCAGTTTCGGCACTCTTTTTTTTTTTTTTTTGTAATGTTTTTTGTTATGAGAAATTCTTTCATGTTTTTAAATCTTTCTATGGGGAATGCTACCTTCAACTGTACAAGTGAATGTGGACAAGGATATTCAGACTATGCTTACATGGGATGAAACATCCACTCTACTAATCCTATAAAATTATTTGTCCAGATTCCAAAAAAAATAGACACAGAATTACCATGTGATCCAGCAATTCTACTTCTGAGACTATACCCAAAAGAGCTGAAAGTAGGGTTTCGAAGAGATATTTGTCCACCCATGTTCATAGCAACATTATTCACAATAGCCAAGAGGTGGAAGCAACCTTAGTGTCCATCAAATGGGTGAATTTTAAACAGAACTGTGCATATACATACAATGAATAATTATTCAGCCTTAAAAAGGAAGGAAATGCTACACATGCTATAACATGGGTGAATCTTGAGATCATTATGCTCAGTGAAAGAAACCAGTTACAAAAAGACAAATACTGTACGATTCCACCTATAAGAGGTACTTATGATAGGGGCAGAAATAGAATAGTGGGGACCAGCTATAATCGTAAGAAATATTAATCATGCTCTGTTAACCGTGATTGTTTTGTTCTGATTAAAGAAAGCACATTCTAACCTGACTGGGAGTTGGCTGTGGGGCCTGGGAGCTCACCTGGAAATTTGGCCCATCCTCCCCATCTGGGAGCTGCCTATTATCATGGAAAGATGAACAACCTTGTTGCAGAAACAGAGCCGCCAGGGAGGACCCACAGCCTTTGCATACCCACAGGCCTTTGCAAATCTCCAGCCCTCATTACATGAAAACTGCCCATTTGGCATACACTTGTTCTTACTTCACCATGTAATCTTTGTCCTACCTAATATTCTAGTAAGCAGCTGGCTTATGGTGGGGTCAGAGCAGATTTTTGCTGTTCTCCCATACTGTGGGCATTTTTGGAATAAATGCTCATATATGACTCAACCCTATCTCTGCTTAATTGGCTCAAGTAGTGACAGGCAGCCTAGACCCATTGATTGTCCGGTTACACTTAGAGTCATCAAATTCCTCGAGACAGAAAGTAGAATGGTGGGTACCAGGGGCTGGGGGACAGGAAGTCAGTGTTTAATGGGATCAGAGTTTCAGTTTAGGAAAATAAAATGGTAAATTTTATATTATATATATTTTACCACAATAAAAAAATATTTATCCAAAAATACTGGCACTAAACAGAGCCTCTAAATTCATTTGTGAAACCAACAGCAGCATTCTATTTTGTTTACTATGCTCAGCCTCCCTTGGACCTCCCAACCTGACTCGGCATTTCTGGCCCTGCTGAGTGATACCCCAGGCTGTGCCTGCAAAGCCAGCAACAGCTTCTGTTCTGAGCCCTTTGACCCCAGTTTGCTGTGCAATCAGGATGCAGCCAGAGGGTTCAGCACCCCCAGCTCTCCCCACTGGTTCCAACCCTGGGCATATGAGACCCTGAGGACTGAAGGACCCCATTCCTTATGACAGGGACACACCACCCACTCTCCCACTGTCACAAGTCAGTGTGACAACCTCTCAGCACTTGAAAGTAATTGAAATTTTAAAGTGAACTATTTGTGTTTATATATTTATTTCCCCAAAACTGTTAAAATCAGAATGGCAGATGTATTTCCTTAAAATGTAATTATTCAATTTAGGTTAAACTTTTTTTTTTTTTTTTGAGCATTTTGAACTTTTAAGAGTCAGAGAACCTATGTAACTACTAGAGGCCCGGATGCATGAAATTCGTGCAAGAGTAGGCCTTCCTTCCCTGAGCTGCTGGCACTGGCTTCCCTCTGGCACCCGGGACCTGGGCTTCCCTCGCAGCCCTGGCTTGGTCTGGAAGGTTGTCTGGTCTAATTAGCATATTACGCTTATATTATTAGAGAAGATGAGGAAAGTGGAGGAAAAAGAGATCGGAGGCCAAGAATGCCAGCATCCCTATACAACTATTAAGAGTTTGACACAAAGAAAGAAAACTCTGGTGTGTGGCTTTAAGAGACATGTGTAGCTGGACCTGTAAGTCCCACATGCTCCTGGCAGGCACAAATCCCTTACAGCATTACCTACTGTATTATGACTGCTGCTCAGCGCCCTTCTCATTCTCCTGGAGGGCTTCTTCATGGAAGAAGTCTGGTCTCTCCATGGTCATTTTCCTCACTAGCTAGCTAGTTGCTCAAATATTTGCTGAATAAATTAAAGACATTGTTCTCACCTGGCCAGTGTGGCACAGTGGTTGAGTGTCAGTCTATGAACCAGGAGGTCATGGTTCAATTCCCGGTCAGGCATATGCCAGGTTTCAGGCTCAATCCCCAGTGTGGAGCGTGCAGGAGGCAGCCGATCAATAATGATTCTCTCTTACCATTGATGTTTCTATCTCTCTCTCCCTCTCCCTTCCTCTCTGAAATCATATATAAAAAGACATTGTTTTCCCTTCATGAACACTAAAGTTTTGATTTTCCTTTAAGAAAAATATAATTTCAAATTGAAATCGGTTGGTGCATCTTTAACCATGTTTGTTTCTTTGTCAACGTCATGACTTCAAAGACGGAGTACAAACCCAATTTGGGGATAATTCCCGCTCCTCCTCCTCCCGCCTGGGCACCATGCACCCAGGGAGGGATGCCATGCTCACCTGTCCTGATGGCCTCCTCCAGGCTGTCGTTCCTCTCTCCCTGGAGAAGCTGGTGGTAATAGCCAGGGTTCCTCTCCATCTGGGCCTGGGCCCCACTCACCCCCATCCACACGCGGGCCCTGTGCTCGAGTGGAACACCTTTCCGGATATAGCGCTTCACTGAAACCGAGAGAAGGGACAGTTTTAGAAGGGCAGACAGACATGTCCCAAGGTCAGGACCTCATAGAGGGCCCTTTGAGCAAATGGCACTAATTTCAGTGCCTTTAGCTCACCAGTTCTCTCCTTAAATCAAACATTAAAAAGCTGCTAAACTTCATACATCGCCCCTGAAACTGGTATATACACTCATTACAGGTTCCTGCTCTCTCTCCCAAACTGAGCACAACCAAGTGGGAGGCTGCAATAACCCCATACTTCTTCTTCACTGTCCAGACAGGGGCCTCAGAGGCCATCCACTGGCCCTCCCTCGCCTCTTGCCACACAAACTGTGCCAGACTCCACAGATGTAAAGACAGGTTAGCTGCAGGCCCAGCCTCGATCCCCTGCTCGGGGCAACTCGGACCAGAAATAGTCACTGTGACCCAGGCACTGCACAGGGGAGGAAAACTGGAGGGACAGAGCCAGCCCAAGTGAAGGGACAGGAAGCAGGAAGAGACCCTCCGCTGGTCCTGGGAGCTACAAGCAGAGCCTCGAGGGCTGGAGGGTCAGCTGTGGGCAGGGACAGACGCTGAGGCCCTAGTGCACCAGGCTCAGATGCACTGTCCTTTCCTGGAGGCGATGGGGACCGACGTCACATGGATGTTCTGGAAAGTCCGCTGGGGGCAGAGACCAGTGAGAGGGCAAACTGAAAACAGGAGACAGCTTGTGTGCAGCACCTGGCTGGGAGCAACTGGCCGCAGCTGCAGATGCCCCGGTCTTGTTTTGCAGCTAATCTCTATAAATTGAGAACTACAGCATTTGGGAGGAATATTTTTATTGAAAATAAATATGTGAAAAGGTAATCAGTAGTTTTCTAATGACCATAGAAACATATAGGAAAATAAGCCCAAAACCATGAGTGACCTCAATAATCAATATTCAATGCCCAGCCGGTGTGGCTCAGTGGTTGAGCATCAAACAATGAACCAGGAGGTCACAGTTCGATTCCTGGTCAGGGCACAGGCCTGTGTTGCAGGCTTGATCTCCAGTGGGGGGAGTGCAGGAGGCAGCCAATCAATGATTCTCTCTCATCATTGCTGTTTCTATCTCTCTCTCCCTCTCCCTTCCTCTCTGAAATCAATAAAAATATACTGTTTTAAAAAAGAAAAGGACAAAATTAGAAAGAGACCCACATAAATAGAATCAATTGCTTTTTGACAAAGTTCAAAGGAACTTCAATGCAGATATAGAATAGTCTTTCCAACAACAAATGTCCAAAATAAAAAATGCCAAAATATTAAGTGCTGGCAGGAATGTGACACAGCAGGAAATCTCATTCATTGATGGTAGAAAAGCAAAATTGTACAGCCACTTTGGAGAGACAGTTTGAAATTTCTTACAAATTAAACGTACAGTTACCATATGACCCAGGATTCTCAATCCTAGGTATTTCCCCCAAGAGAAATGAAAGCTTAACTTCACATAAAACACTGTAGGTGAATATTTATAACTAGAGGCCCAGTGCATGAAAGTTGTGCACTTGTGTCCCTCAGCCCGGCCTGCGCCCTCTCGCAGTCCGGGAGCCCTAGGAGGATGTCCAACTGACAGTTTAGGTGGGCCTAAGCTGGCAGTTGGACATCCTTAGCGCTGGTACAGAGGCGGGGAAGGCTCCTGCCACCGCTGCTATGCTCGCCAGCTGTGAGCCTGGCTTCTGGCTGAGCGGCGCTCCCCCTGTGGGAGCACACTGACCACCAGGGGGAAGCTCAAATGTTGAGCGTCTGCCCCCTGGTGGTCAGTGCACATTATAGTGACTGGTGGACTGGTTGACTTTCTGCCCCCTGGTGGTCAGTGCACATTATAGTGACTGGTGGACTGGTTGACTTTCTGCCCCCTGGTGGTCAGTGCATGTTATAGTGACTGGTGGACTGGTTGACTTTCTGCCCCCTGATGGTCAGTGCATGTTATAGTGACTGGTGGACTGGTTGACTTTCTGCCCCCTGGTGGTCAGTGCGCATCATAGCGAGTGGTTGTGCAGCCTTAGCATATTATTCGCATATTATTAGCATATTAACTTTGATTGGTTGAATGGACAACCAGAGGACCGGACACTTAGCAAATTAGGCTTTTATTATATAGGATGTTGGCCTCACACATCCTAAATGTCCTTTGACTGATGAACAGATAAAAGAATAAATTGTAGCCCTAGCCAGTTTGGCTCAGCGGATAGAGCGTCAGCCTGCGGACTGAAGGGTCCCAGGTTTGATTCCAGACAAGGGCATGTACCTTGGTTGTGGGCACATCCCCAGTAGGGGGTGTGCAGGAGGCAACTGATCAATGTTTCTCTCTCATCGATGTTTCTGACTATCTCTCTCCCTTCCTCTCTGTAAAAAGTCAATAAAATATATTTTTTAAAAATTGTAGTACACCACCATACAGTGAAATATTCCTCAACAATAAAAAATGAACTATTGATACACCCAAGATAATGGATGCATCTCAAACACATTATGTTAACTGAAAGAAGCTAGACTCCAAAGGCTACAAGGTGTATGATCCCACTTATGGCACATTTTCTGATGGCTGAAGAGATCAGCGGTTGTCCTGGGGGGCGGGGGGGGGGGGGGGGACTGCCCACAAACAGGCAGCAGAAGGCGATTCTGAAGGTGATGGACTCCTTTGACTCTTGCTTGGGCTGAGGTTATGTGGCTCTATGGGTTTGTCTGAATTCATAGAACTATACACCAATAAGAGTGAATTTCACTACAAATTCTAAAAAGTAATTTAAGAAAGGGGTCCATGGGGGGAGATGACATATGTAATACTTTCAACAATACAGATTTAAATAGCAAAAAAGAAAAGTAATTAAAAAAGGGAAAGTACAAAATGGCTAAACCCCTCACTATGGAGTTAGACACTGGCTCTACTGTGACTTCCTAGCCTCAAACCTGGAGCAGGTCTCAGTTTTCTCATCTATAAAATATAAATAAGGCACTCAGTCTAGTAGCTGAAATACAGTCGGAGCTCACGTTGGAGAACACATGTCTTTGCTACTTTTGGATGTTTGCTATCTGAATTTACAATGTTTCTTCAGGAAAGAATGAAAATAGTTTACTTGCCCTCAGAGACTAACACTTTCCCAGGGCAGGGCTCACCCACAGGTCATCGCTGACATTTGCAGAAGAATAAAATAGAAAGGAAAAACAGTGGGAAAATTTTTTATTAAAAAAAGAAGCCGGACACCAGAGAATTAACCTCCAACTGTCTGCCCCAACAAAGTTAAGCAAACCTCCAGTTTGGGGTATTTGTCTTTGAAAATATGTTTTTGTAAATTATTTCTAATTTACATGGTGCCGATCTCCTAAGCCACTGGGAAGGAGATCTAGAAGAAGCACGCGGCTAGGAGGCTTTTCCCCTTGTGGAGTCCCTTCACCTCAAGATGGGACATGAACAGGAGTAAGGATCGGGGCTAGGTCAAGCCAGGGCTAAGCTTGTTGAACTTGGCTTCAAGGCTGTGGGAGGAAGAGTAAGCTGTCTTAAGGCTCCTACTGGATATTTGCTGTAGACAAAGAAAAATAAAAATATTCATCATATCCACCAGTAGCATAATCAAGCAGCACACTAGTAAGCTGCCTGAACATACACTGAATGTCCAGATTTATAGATACCTGTGTTACTGGAGACTTTAAGATAGGCAACACAAATGAAAATCCTCCCCCAAAGAGAAAAAACAAAGCAGAACAACAACAACAACAAAAGCAAGATAAGGTGAGAAGAACAGGATAAAGGGAGATTTCAGGGTGTGCTTGCTGATATGCAAGGATGAGGTTCCAAGACTGAGTTCCTTGGTCACTGCAGGACCAAAATCCCTTACATGTCATCTCTTCCTCGAGATGTCTCGTACCTGACTACACAGCAGTCAGCCTAGGATGCGTGGCCGGAAAAAACTGGACTCCCAATTCTGGAACAACTTGTCCAGCTGTGTTTATGCCTGACAGCCCATGCTCTAACTGCTTCCTTGTCACACCCGGAAACTACACCGAGCTCCAGTGGCAACACCCTGGATCACAGGCCCCTGTGAGGTCACACCACACGCTCTCCCTGAATTAATCTGTGTCACTTCCTGGAACGACATCAGGCCATGAGACTCTCCAGTTCACCTTGACACTGAATCCCATCCCCTAGGCTGAAGGCTCGTCAGGAATCAAACATATTTATTCCTAAACCTGTTAGCTTTCTGTAAAGATACTTGTCACCATAATCACACAGTTTAACTGACATTACATAAATCTTAGAAGTATTAAAGCAAGCAAGCAAGAATTATTTCAGTAAAAAACCAAGCTAAATTTTTAGAGAGTTGCAAGAGACAGCTACCCAACGCAAAAGCAAAACAGAATCTTAGAATCAGATTTAAGACAACTGCAGGATGGGGAAAAGGCTAAACATCTGGGAGGAGTCTGTATTCAGATTGCTTTTATTCCTGCTCTACGTGAAAAACACACCAAAAAAACAACAACAAACAAACAAAAAAACCCCAATACTGGAAAACAGAGACAATGAATTGAGAGTGTGATACAAAATTTAAATTAGTGGACCCACCTATTCAAAGGAAAGGAGATGATAGGACAGAATTGAATGACAAACATCCACTTGCTGTGATTCTCTGCTTTAGCTGGCCTCTGGGTTAGTAGTCCAGAGTCAGCCATGTTGGACAGGAGGCCTTCTTCTGCACTAAAAGCAAACTGCAGCCCCATGGCGTGGCTGCTGCATTTATACACATGTGTGCATGCACACGCTCATGTGTGTGCACCCCCTTCCCGGGGGAGACGAAAGGACAGTCACCATGATCAGTCACCTTTATAGGAGAATGGAGCCTGGGGCAGGAGAGAAACCTAGCATCACTTTACATCTTTTAGTATGGTTAAGACATTTTACCATGCATGTAAACTATGTTCACTTTTGAATACTTGTATGTAACTTTTTAAAACAAAAAGACTAGTCAACTTTTAAAAATAAATTGAAAGGAAGAATTAAAGGCAGCCCTGGCCAGTGTGGCTCAGTGGTAGAGCTTCGGCCTTCTCACCTAAGGGTTGAGGGTTTGATTCCCAGTCAAGGGTCACTGGCATGTTTGAGGGTTGCAGGTTTGTTCCCTAGTCAGGGCGCATTCGAGAGGCAACCAATGGATGTGCCTCTCACCTCTCTCTCTCGCTCTCGCTCTCCTCATCCTCCCTTCCATTCTCTGTAAAATCAATGGGAAAAATATCCTCGGTTGAGGATTTTTTTAAAAATCAAAGGCAGATGTGCTGCTGGAAACACATTAACACACAAGGCCCATGCAGGGATGGACATATGTTTCATATAGGATGGTACATGGTACATTGGAAAATATTAGCTTTCTGTAAAGCAACAAAGGACCAACTTTAAGGTCCCTTCCAGCTGGTTTTATGAAATGATAGTTTCCCTGAGTTTTTGTTCTTTTTTAATCCTCACCTGAGGACATGCTTAGAGAGAGGAGGGAGGGAGAGAGTGAGAGAGCCATGGATGTGAGAGAGAAACAGAAATCGGTTGCCTTCCATATGTGTCCCAACCAGAGATCGAACCCGAAACTCAGGTATGACTAGAAATCAAACCAGCAACCTTTTAGAGCGCAGGATGATGCTAAAAAAAAAATGAGCCATTCTGGCTGGGCTAGCTGAGTTTTTACTAAGCACCCCTATCAGTAATAGCCTGGAGGAGGGAGGGCTGTCCAGTGTCTAGGGATAGCCCCTGACCCCTGCCCTACAGGGCAGCAAGTTCCCAGACCCACCTGCTTACACCCCGCCCTCTGTCAACTCCACAAATACTTTCCAGGCGCCTACTGTGTGCTGGGACCACTTTGGGCCCTATGCACTAACCGCTTTAAAAGCAAAAATTGATCTCTCCATCCCCTTGCTCATAATTCCTCTTACAGTTGGCTTCTGTCTGCCAGGTCCAGGTGATGTGTGGCTACATGGGGCCCCGTGCAGGGTTCCCTGGCTCCATCTCTGGCCCTTTCTACACACACCCCTAATACTCTAGTCACACAGCTCTGTCCCTTGCCTCTGACCCCGTCCTCAGCCTTAATTGTCACCAATGTCCTATTTCAGGAAACCCGTACACACCTCTCTGCACCATTTATCTGACTTCTCTTAACTCCTACCAAGGGGCACACTCCTACCAACGCCCTTCCACTTGCCCAGCAGTTACCACCTAAACCAGTGGTTCTCAACCTTCCTAATGCCACGACCCTTTAATACAGTTCCTCATGTTGTGGTGATCCCCAACCATAAAATTATTTTCGTTGCTACTTCATAACTGTAATTTTGCTACTGTTAGGAATCGTAATGTAAATATCTGATATGCAGGATGTATTTTCAGGGGTCGCGATCCACAGGTTGAGAAACACTGAAACACTTCATTCATTCATTCATTCATTCATTCATTCATTCATTCAAACACTGAAGCAATTACCCTGACCAATCCCTGCCAGCAGAGAGGGATCTTGGAGTCCAGCAGGGGAGACAAATGATAAAATAAATCAGCTCTGCACTGCATGAGACAGTGAGGAGAAAATAAGCAGAAAGGGGTGAAGAGTGTGTGGCTGTATGGTGTGATGGGGGAGTGCCATTCCAGACAGGAGCTCCGGAAGGCATCATGGAAGTGGCATTCCAGTCAGCCCCTGAAAAAGATAGGAGGGGCTGGGGATGAACCCCAAGGAGAGGCAGGTGCTAGCCTGGGGTGTGCTGGAGGAAGGGAGAGGAGGCCTGAGGGAGGGGGCCCCAGGCCTAGAGAGAGGAAGGGAGAGGGCTGGGGCAGAACAGGTGAGGAGGGGTCCAGTAAGGGACGCAGGGAGGGCTTGGTCACAGGCATGGACAAGCAGAGAGCCCTGGCCAATCTCATTTTGAGAAGCAGGGAACCAACTTTCTTCTGGAAAGCAAGCAGGCCCATCTTCTGGAAAGAACACCCCTGTACCTCAAAGGTGCAAGTTCTAGCTGAATTCAAAGCTTGGAGCCTCAACTTGGGCCTACGTAGGTCACACACCTGTCTGCCATTTCCCAATCTCCGGATCCCTAGGAAAGATGCCAGACTCAAGGCAGCCTCCCTAGATTAGGGGTGCCTGAGGAATCCTGAACCCCTCTTCCCCCCAGCATTTGTCAGCCAGTGACCTGGTGGTTGAGTGCGTGGTGGACCAAGTTCCAAACTCACCTCTCATGCTTTTCTGGACACTACCGCTTCCCTTTAGAAGTTTAGACCATTTTATTGCTCTTCTAGTGAGTACCACCAGATAGGTGGAAAAGAATTCTTCATAAGCCGCATAATCAAAATCCTCAGGCCTTTCAAACCCATACGCATCGATCCTGCAATACAAAGAGACGCCCTGTAGCCCCAGATCAAGCTCCCCACGCACGTGCGACCAGCGGCACAGACCGCCCGCCTGCCAGGGTCCCGTCCCGGGGTCCTCTTCCACGCCCCGCCCGCGGGTCCTCGCGTGGAGGGGCGGGGCCGTCAGGGGCCGTGACCACCCGCGGGGGGCGGGGTGGGGTGGGGGGCGCGCCCTGGACCCACCCCCGGTGCAGAAGGGGGTCTCGGGCAGAGAGCGGCAAGAATGCGCCCCGGCCGAGGGAGGTGCAAGGGCCAGCACCCCCACCGCCTACCGTCCCACTCCTCGCACCCCCAAATCCCGCGACGTCCCACTCCCGCATCTCCAGATCCCGCGCCACCACCCTCGCACCCCCAGGCTGGGCGAGGGGCGTCCCGGGCCTGAGCGCCCACCTGGGGACGCGGTCCCGCGCCGCCTGCTCGTGCTCCGAGAGCTCCATGCGGAGGAGGCGGGTGGCTGCCCGGAGCCGCCCAGACCTCGGCGGGTGGGGGTGCCCAGTCCGCCTCCCGGGACTCGGGCAGCCAGAGTCCTTCCACCGCCGCGGGCGCAGGGAGGCGGTGCGGGGGGCCGGCGGCAGGGGGCGGTGCTAGGAGTGGGGGAGGGGGCGTGCGGGGGGCGGGGCCAGGGGAGGGGTGAAGAGAGGGGAGGGTGGTGCTGCAAAGAGGGGGAGTGGGAGGGGGAGGGCAGAGATAGTGCGGGGGGCGGGGGGTGCGATGAGCGGCGTGGGAATAAGGCGGGGGCCGGGGAAATGGAGGGGAGGGGCGGGGGGGGGGCCCTGAGCGAGGGGGAGAGGGCGGGCGCCGGGTTGCACCTGCTCCCCGGCCCCTGCGGAGGGCGGAGGGCGGAGTCGGAGGCCCTGGAGCCGGGAGCCTGGCAAGGGGTAGCCCTGCCCACGACTCCCTCCCGGCCTCAAGGGAGAGGGCGCTGGGAGCTAGGGAATGGGGCCCGGGTGCAGGGTGGGGACGGGGTGGAAACGGGGGTGGGGGTAGACCGGGGAACGGGGTGGGGTGCAGGGGCTTGAAGGGGGCTCAGCGGGAACCGGATGAGGAGACCCGAGGGGCGGGATGGGGGGGGTCGCTGGGCAGGACGGGGACTCAGGGCGGGATGGTGGGCAGGCGGGAGCCTCCGGCTAAGGGATGGGGGAACCAGGGGGTGGAACCGGGGCCGACTGGCAGCGCGTCCGCCCAGCCTCCAGGCCTCTTAGACCCTGAGTAAAGGCCGGAGAAGGCCATCCAGGTTGGATTCCTCCGAGATTCCTTCAAGCCTGAGTGCGCAGCAGTTCCAAAGGCCAGAGTTCTGACTTGTGATACCTTTTTTATTTGCTTTATGCAGAAAAGCAAGTTCTCTCTCTCTCTCTCTCTCTCTCTCTCTCTCTCTCTCCTGCAGCCTACAGTTCAGACCTGAGAACCTGCCCTGTTCCTTCCTGCCTTCCCTTCTCCACCCAACCCCAACTGCAGTGAGCCGGGCCTAGGAAAATGGCAGCTGCCAGGAGCCGCGGTGTCAGACTGGCTGGCCTTGGCTACTACAACCCAGCAGTTGGAGGGATGTGCCGCCCTGCAGGGTTGCCATCTGGGGTGACTTGGAGTTAACAGCTCAGGCATCTGCACCACTCCCCAAACTGCAGCCGGCAGCTGTGGGGGCTGCTGCCTCCCTAGTGCTGTGTCCAGAATCCTGGGAGCATGAGTCAATGCCCAGTACTCTCAGAAAATGAACAGCCGTCTGATCACGCAGCTTCTTCTGCCTCTCACTTCTGAAGGAAAGCACCACCGAACAAAAACAGCCTAACAGCCACTCCTCCCTGGAGAGCCAGGGCTGCCCTGCTTTTGAATTGCATCTCCCTTGGTCCGGCTCACCATGCACTGAGATGGCAGAATTATGGCATGCAAACTAGGCCTGCACTGCTTTCCCTAGCTGTGTGTGTGTGTGTGGGGGGGGGGTCCCCAAAAATTTGCCTGAACTGTGTGTTTTGAACTTTGCGTCGGAAATGTGGTGAGATAAAAGGAAACTTAAGATGCTTTAAGATTTAAGGTTCTTTTGTAGCCTTAGTCCTCTACATCCCCAAGGTCTTTTTTTTTTTTTTTTTTTTTTTTTTAAATAAATAGTGGTCTCAGAACAGTAAGCAATCAGGCAAATCAGGAAGACAGCTCTTCTGCAAATGTTCCGTGACCACCTTCCTATGCCCAGGAACCTGCTCCACCATGGCCAGCCCACCTTTGAGGAAAAGTCTCCCTGGGACTCCAGATGCTCTTTCTCCAGAAAAGTACCCATAAGCCACTGCTATGTGCGGTAGAAATAAAACCGCCAGCTTTCCACTGCCAGGGCTTCTGCGAGCCAGCCTGGGAGCTTAACGTTGGTTGTTCAGGGGTGTTCTGTCTGAGGGCTCAACAGGAGCCTGGGAAGTAATTTGGGGCCCCCTCTAAATCGGAGACGTCAGTCTGCCCATTGTTAAGCCTCTCCAAACCCTGCAGGACTAGAGGAAAGTCAGTGCTTGGGTAAGCATAACCCAAGTGCCGGTTCTGCCAACCTTCCCAGTGTGCTGGTTCTGGGAAAATTCTTCAGGCTTTCAGCTCCGTTCACAGCATTTTGCTTTTGAAAGACAAAGTGTTGCTTCTTTCAAAGACCCCTTATCCACGCTCTGACCTCCTTGGCACATTGCCAACAATGGTCCTTTCTTCTGCAGGCTCAAGTCCACAGATAGGGTGACTTATTCTTACACAATTGTGGGGGGATCCCGTCGGCCCACACCACTTCACCTCTGCTGGGTCTTACAAAACAGAACAGGCACACAGCGACCTCCCCCTGATCCCCATCCTGTAGTTTTTGCCCTGTTCCCTTCCTTGTCGGTCTGCCACAGGTCCACGGGAATGACTGAACCCCTCTCTGCTCCGATCTCCCTATGGGCCCAAACCCCATTTCCTACTTCCTGTTGCAGTTTCTGTGAGAATATCTGGCATTTCTCTTGCACTCAGCATCGTGTGCCCCCAAACCATTCAGCTTCCAGCCCTGTTGGCACAGCTCTGCTATTCCGATCCCTCCTGGCAGTCCTGGTGGACACTTCTTACTTCCTCAAGGCCCCTCTTTTCTGTAACTCCTGCCCTTCTCCAGATGGGCCTCAGGGTCCCAGCCTCACTCCCCTCCTACCCACTTCTTCACAACCGCATTGGAGAGCAGCCTTGGTCCTGTGGCTCCAATGCCCCGACAGGAAGCACAGACCACGGGGTACATGCCTTAACCTTGAGTGTGATGGCAGTGCCCCAGATCAAGTGTATTTTGGAGCCAGATAAAACTAGAGTGTGAACTTTCTATGTTGGGAATAAGTTAGATAGGAGCGGGGCTGCCCTCCAGGAAGAGTGGAAGGAAAGATAGAAAGGACCAGGGCCCAGGGCAGGCAAGGACGGTCAGCAGCCAGAGGGCAATGTCACTAGAAGGGCCTCCGGGAGGTCTGAGGGCTGCTGGAACCCCACCAGCGTGCCCCGACTCCCATTGCACAGCTCCCCAAGCTCCCCTGTGTCCTTGGTGCACCTCCACCACCTCCCCATGCCCAGTGCTCTGAGTGTCCTGGGCACCTTCCTGGCCACCTCCCTTTCCTCAAAGCGGGCAGCTGTGATAATCCGTGATGGATAGATCACGTCGGAGTAAGGAAACCACACTGTGTGCACACCCCAGGAGGGAGCGTGCAGCCTGCGCAGAGGCAGCCAGCCCACGCCCGGTCTCCCCAGAGCATCCCTTCCTGGTGCTCTGGGGAAAGCTGTGTGAGGAGCCCGCTTTGCAGCACTAAACCTTCTGGACACCAGGGGGGCTGGTCAGTCCGGGTATGAGAATTCCTGCACAGGGGACCCAGGTCCTCTGGGGAGGTGGCACTGAGAGGGGCATGTGCAAAAGCTCTGGAGTCACCACCCAATGGATGTCTCTCTTCCTGCAGGAATTCCTGTTCTCATTACTTGATTAAAAGAGTTGCTAGGAGTGCCCCTTCCTCCAAGACTAACAGACATCTAGGGGACAGCCATAGACCTGTGGGTGATGGAGGGACAAAGGTAACATCTGAACTTGCTGACCCATTGCAGATCCCTGCAGCAGCCCACTGGACACCGAGTGCTTCCCAACGTGTGGCAAAGGGTGCCCAGCGCCACGCTGGGTCTCCTTGTGATGTCCTCAGACCTGAAGCCAGTAGAGCTTTTGCACATGGGGTGGGGTTGCAGGAGTCACAGGTGTCAGGGAAGGTGTCTTACCCAAAGTACAGCTGTGCTGCTCAGACGCCCACCTGGGGACCCAGTGAGATGTGGATCCTGATTCAGCGGGGCAGGGCGGAGGTGGGGTAGTCTGAGACCCTGCATTTCTCACAGGCTCCCACATCTGGTCCATGAGCCATAGTCTGTTCAACAAAGGGCTGGATGGGGAGAGCATTATAGATGAAAAGAAGCTTAAGAGAGGGAGGCCCTTGGAACTGATCCTCTTGCCTTGAGATCCAGCCTTGACTTTGGCCCCAATCCAGCTGGCTGTGCACTTCAGCTCCCTGGTCTGGGGCAGGGCCAGCACCCAGCCTTAGAGGCCTATTTTGACTCTGGGGATTAATGTGCACAAATGTACGCCTCCCACTCAGAAAGTCTGAATGGGTTCAGAACTGGCCTCTTCAAGATGCACTGTTTTGGTAGGTGAATTGTTTTGAGCTGAAGGCAATTGAGACCCTGCAGGATCATGAGAAACTTTCACCTCTCCCTTCAAGAATTTAAATTAGGGGCTTTGCCCATAATAAGAGTTATGATCAGTCCTGGCCAGGTAGCTCAATTGGTTAGAGCATTGTCTGATAGGGCACATATAGGAAGCAACCAATGAATGCATAAATAAGTGGAACAACAAATCAACCTCTCTCTCTCTCTCTCTCTCTCTCTCTCTCTCTCTCTCTCTCTCTCTTTCTCTCAAATCAAACAATCAATTAAAAAAAGAGTTATTGTTACAGGTGAGATGACAAGACTTCGGTTCTTGTCTTCTTGAAGGAAAAATTTTCATCAAGAAACAACGTGCAACAAAGCAAGCTATAATTTATTGGCTGAAGCAAAAACACACTCAGGACAGTGCAACAAAAAAGGGCATAGAAGAAGCAAAAGGAGAGCCTAGGCTGGGCTGCTTTGGCTCACTGAGAAGGGGGCCTTGGAGACAGGCTCAGGGGGTTAGCCCAGGATCAGCTGCCACTGCCCATTGCTCCCCTGGTTGCAAGTCTCCTGCAGTCCCTTGGAGGGAAGAAGTGGGGAAGGGAATGGCGTGGGCTGCTTCCCTGGGGGAGAGCTGGCTCTGGGTCCTTCATCCTGAGCGTACTTATCTCTCTCTTGCAGGTGGAAATCTTAGAGGAGGTTTCCTGGGAGGCTCTCAATAGAAGATTCATCAGCTCTCCAGGTGCGTTCTTTTAGGGTCCTGGTCTCACTGATTAGTTGGAGCCAGGCCACAGGGTTATTAGTCAATGCAGCTCTCCTGAGACAGCCATGGCATCACTTGTCTGGTTTTGCTGGTTTTCTGGGCCTGAAGTTGAAATACAACTGAGGCCTACCCAGATGTTATCTTTAGGGAGGAAAGGTCAT